TCTAAAGTCCCTCTCAACCCTGACATTCCATGTTCTAAGATCTCTCCTATCTCTGACATTGTGTTCTAAGCTCTCTTTCAATCCTGACATTAAGTATTGTAAAGTTCCTCTCAACCCTGACATTCCATGTTCTAAGGTCTTTCCCTTCTCTGATGTTGTGTTCTAAGCTCCCTTTCAGTCCTGACATGTGTTCTAAGCTTCCTTCTAATCCTGACATATGTTCTAAAGTCCCTCTCAACCCTGACTTTCTATGTTCTTTTTCTTAATTAATTTATTTTGATTTATCAACAATCACTACCATATGCTTTTGAGTAAAAAATTTTCTCCCCTTTTCTCCCCACCCCCCTCCCCAAGATGGCACACAATCTGATATAGGCTATATCTATATCTCTATCTCTCTATATATATGTACATATATATGTATATGTATATATGTATATATATATACATTCTTATTAAACATATTTTCAGATTAGTGATGTTGTAAGTAAAAATTAGAACCAATAGGAGGAACCACCAGAAAGAGGAAACAAAACTCAACAGGAGAGGAAAAAAAAGAGCAAATAGTTTGCTTCGATCTGCATTCAGACTCCATAGTTCTTTCTTTGGATGTGGAGAGCATTTTCCATCACGAGGCCTTTGGAGATGTCTTAGATCCTAGCATTGCTGGGAAGGGCTAAGTTTATCAATATTAGTCATCGCACAACGTGGCTTTTACTACTTTCTATGTTCTAAGGTCTCTCCCTTCTCTGACATTGTGTTCTAAGCTCTCTTTTGATCCTGACATTATGTGTTCTAAAGTCTGTCTCAACCCGGACATTCCATGTTCTAAGATGCCTTCTAACCCTGACATTCTATATGCTAAGGTCTCTCCCAGCTCTGACATTCTGTGGTTTGATAATTGTGACAGCATACATTTCTTGGGCATTTTAAGGTTTCCAAAGCACTTGCTTCACAACATCTCAGGTAAGGCAGGTAGCCTCAGTCTCCATTAGCCCCATTTTACAGTGGAGGAAACTGAGATCCCCAGAGCTGCGGCACCTCTCAAAGCAGCCATGGTGGTGGATCAGATCATCAGAGTGGACAGTACCTCAGAGATCCAGTCCACCCCCTTCCTTTATGAGAGGGCACTGAGGCCCAGAGATGAGAGACTTGGCCAGTCATACTATAAAGTCAGGGGCAGAAATGGGGTACTTAAACTGACTCCAAGATAATTCTGTTTCCATTGGCTCCAATACATTAAGAAATCCTTCCAGTCCATCCTTCCTTCTCTTCCCACTGCTAGTCCCCTTGTCCCCATGACCCCCCAGACTAATGCAAGAGGGTCCTGGGAGGTCTCCTTGCTTTCCCTCTCTCCACTTGAATACCTCCTCACAACAAAGCCTTCATCTTTTCTTAAGCATGGATCGGATCTTGTCATTCCTGTGCTTTGGTTTGTGGAATTAAGTCCAGTCTCCAGTGACTAGCATTGGAAGCTCTCCACCCTCTGGCACTCCCCTATGTTCCCAGTTCCAGCTCATATTACTTCCCTCTATGCACTCCATAGAGTGCCATATTGATCTACCCTGTCTGAGGAACACACCCTATGCTCTCCTAGAGTTGCCTACTCAGTCTGCTCTATGCCAGGAATGTCTCCCCTCAAGCTTTCAATCCCAATTCAGATGGCATTTCCTTCAGTTTTCCTCATCCCCCTGGTTGGTAATGATCTTTCCCATCAGGTCTCACATAGCCTCTCTCTCTCAATCTCTCTCTCTCTCTCTCGTCCTCCCTCCCTCCCTCCTTCTTTTCCAATATGTTTACTATATAATATTATATGGTGTAGTTATCTATTACCCCAATAGACTGTAAGTTCCCCCAGGGCAGGGAGGGGTGGGGATTATCTAAACTTTGTGTGTCTTCCATAGCCAGGCACAGGGGTATTACACACGTAAAATATTTAATAAATGTTTGTAGAATGAAAGAGAGGGTGTTAAGAGATCTATGTTCTAATCCTAGATTTCCGGGACTCACTGTGAGTCTCTCTGGACCTCAGTTTCTCCATCTGTACAAGGGGGTTAGGTTTAGAATCCAATTTAGAAAACTCCATTCCCTTTATTTTGCAGATGATAATAGCAAGACCCAAAGAGATGAGATGACTTGTCCAGGGTCACACAGGAAATAAATGGCAGATTTGAACCCAGGTCCTTTAGGATTTGAAGATACCGAGACAAACTCAGCCACCAATTGTTCAATTGTAAAATGACGGAGTTGCACCAAATGAACTCAATGGTACTGGCTCTCAAATCTAGATCTTCTCCCCCTCTCCTCTCTCCACCCCCTCCTCCTCTGTCTCACTCTTCTCCTCCCTCCCTTCTCTCTTTCTCCCCCTCTCCCCCCTTCTCTCTCTCTCTCTCTCTCTCTCTCTCTCTCTCTCCTCCTTGCCTTCCCCCATACACACAGAGTAGCTCAGTGGACAGATTACTGACTTTGAAGTCAGAAGACCTGGCTGGGTTCTGATGACTACAATATGACCCTAAGGTAAGGTCATTTAAGCCCTCTGGGCTTCAGTAGAAACTAAGGGGGTTAAACTAGCTGGCCCTTGAGATTTCTTTCGGCTCTAGGCCTGTGAGCCATCTCCTAATGCTTTGTCTTCTCATTCTAAGCTCCTTCCCATTTGGAGGTGGAAGTGTCCAAGCAGAAGGTGGCTGATCACCTGGGCAGATTATGTTGGAGATAGAATTCCTATATGAGGAACAAGTTTGAACTAGATGGGCCCTACATCCTGTCCAGCTCTGAGATGCAAAGAGTCAGAATCCAGCGTTCAGTGACTGGAAGGCTCATAGACTTAGAAGCTCGAAGAGGAGGAAATTCCCCAGTGTTTGAAAGCCCCTCTTCCCCCACGAGTGCCCTGAAAGCTCAGGTCTCCATGACTTTGACGAAGCCAGCCGGTAGGCACTCAAACTTTAGTGGACTGAGAAACAAGCCTTGTGACTTTCCATCCTGTTACCCTCCCCCTCAAATATCCCCCAGGAAGTTGGAAGCCCTAAGCCACGCCCAGTTTCTTGAGGTAACAGCAGCTCCAATTTCCCCAAGGCTCTGTTTCCCTAGGTGCTTTCCTTACAAGGACCCCAATGAATCTGGTAGTCTGAGGATTGAATACCCTTGTTTTACAGATTAGGAAACTGAGACCCAGAGAGGTTAAACCACTTGCCCAAGGTCACAGGGTTGTGGTAGCTGGAATTCCAACCTAGGTCTGTCAAAAGCAAATTCCAAAGTGTTCTTTCCACTTATCTCTGCTCTTCCACCGAGGTTAGAAGGAAAGCATAGGTAGGTGGGGAGTGTATGGATACGTCTGTGTGTATCACAGCATCACAGGTTTCAACGCTGTAAGGAACTTGTAGAGGTCATTTGAGCCAATCCCTCTTCACAGATGTGAGGAGCCAAGAAACACATAAGTTCAATGATTTGCCTAAGTGGCAGATGTCATAGGCTGTCTCTATGTCCTGGGCTCCAAGCAGCCTCGCTCTAATCGTTATTAGCATGGTTTCCAGCTTCACTTCTGCTTCTGGCCCCCTATGTGGCTTTGGACAAATCCCTTACAATCCCTGGGCCTCAGTCCGCACATCTGCCAAATGGTGTTAGGAAGAGGTCGGCATTCTGTTATTCTCTAAGACTTCTGAGCAATACCTTCATTTTCAGGCCATAGATTTCCCCCATGGAGGGGGAAGTCGAGCTAGGCAAGCAGGGTAGAAGGGGGAGGGCTGCCTTAGCCTTAGCCTTTTACGGTCTCCTGGAGCTGGGGGGGGCGGGAGGGAGCGGGGAGGCGGGGACTCGGACATCCGTCTTCTCCTCAACCCTCCCCACCTCTCTTGTACCGGGGACCGGAAAAGGGGGGAGGAGGAGGGACCTGGGGCAGGAGGTAGGGCGGGGAATGGAAAGGGGAGGGGTCCCGAGCTCCTCCCCAGACTCCAACGAGGGAAGGAAGGCTGAATGGAGACTTATAAGGAGCCAGGACCCAACTCTAAAAGGGGGGGGGGGAGGGAAATGTTTCTGTCTTACTGGGCAGGGAGGGGGAGCTGCCTAACTCGGTTCTCCCGGATCCTGGCCTGTTAGAGGCACTACTCTTCTCTCCCATAGCTTCCCAGGGTGCATTCTGAATCCCCTTACATACCGTTGCCCCCAGGGTCTTAACCCCCAACTTTCCCTCAGCATCTCTTCCCCCTCCCCCTCCCCCGGAGGGAGGAGTTGGGGCAAGGGATGGAGAAATGATTAGACCTTTAGAATGACTCGAATTTGAGCCTGTGAACCACAGAACATACGACAATTAGAACAAACGGGAAATCAGGTTGATAGAACGTGACTGCTAGAACGCTTAGGACATTCGACGAAGCCTTTCCTACCGCTGACCACCCCAATATCCCCACACTTCAGTTGATACCCCCCTTTTCAACCCCCTTACCCCGGAAAGTGGTGAAACTGAAGGAAATTGGTATCATAGTCAAATTGTCCCACTACCCCACACATACTTCCGGCCACAGATGGGGGGGGATGGGAGGGAGGAAATTCCCTCCCATCCCTCCCCGTCTCTAGATTAACCCCACAGCCTCAGAAAATTAATAGGGGTGTAATAAATTAAATTGCAGCAGAGCTGGTGTGGGACTGTGGCCTGGCAGGGGTTAAAGCCACTTGGAGCTAAATTCTAGGGTTTGAACCCCAATGCCGGCGGAGGGTGGGGGGTGGGCGGTATGTCCGGAAATCTCTGGGCTGGGAGGAAAAGCGATAGCATTGTAGCAGCGGGCCACAGGGGATCGGAAAAGTACCCGCTCCTCAACATCTCTCTCCCTAGCTCAGGTATCTATTTTCTTGGGACTCCAGAAGAGTGGTCCTCTCATAAACAAGAGTTCTAAGTCCACAGGTCTCTTTTTCGAGGGGCCTGTCACACATAGTACACCTATAAAACTCCCTAGCACCTAGATCCCGCGCAGGTGAGCAGCCCCCTCCCCTCAACAAGGATCATGGGCTAAGAATCCCTCCCTCTAAGACAGGTGAGTCTCAGGAGACAAAAGCCGCCCCTGCCCCTGCCCCTGCCCCTGCCCCTGCCCCTGCCCCTCCTCCATCCCTCCAGCTGTTGGTTTCCTTCCCAGGGGGAACTGGGGGAGGGGTCAGGGGTGGGGACTCTGGGAAAAAGCCGGCTACCCCTCTGGATAACTTCCCCAACGCCCTCTCCCCTCTAGATATAGCGGAAGGGGGAAGTAAACAAGAGACCTCCTCCCTCCGGGAAATTCAGGTGTGTATGGGGGGCGGGGAGACGGAGGTGGAGACAGATAATGCTCACCCCAGTTCTAAGGGTGTATCTAAACCTTCACTAACAGTAGAGACAGCTAAGAAGAGCTTCACCAGTCCTGATGTCAAGGACTCAAGGATCGTACCCCTGAAAAGTTGGGGCTCAGCGTCGCTGGGGGCAGGGCAGAGACTTTCCAGTGCATGAACAGGGACTCGTCCGCAAAACTGAGGACATTAAAAAGTGATAGCTTCCCTCCCCCCAGGGCATCTCACTCTCCTCACAGGCTTATAAGCAAAGGTGAGGTTTGGAATTCCCACAATTTTGGGGGGGGCGGGGGGAACAGGGTGGCTACAGACTGGACGGGGTCAAGAATTGCAAGGGGAAGCAAGACAGCACCATTCACCGCCCAAGTTGGTGGGGGGGGGGACACAAGGTGTCAACTTCCCTTTGAAGGGTCCCAAGACAAAACTTGCTCCCCTTCAAAGAGCCAAGACAAACCAAACCAAACCAAAAACCACTGTGTGGTTAACGGATCTCGGAACTCCTGGAAATAGGACAGTGGAAGAAACAATCGGAAGGAAACTCACAGAAGAAAAGCTCCTGGAAAGGGAAGGGGCAACAGTCTGACCATCATCCTTCCTCTTCACAAGGGAGTCCCTGGACACCACACCCCTCTCCCCTCCCCCGCCCAGTCTGGAGAACTACAGGGTTCAGGGGGTGTCCTTTCCAAAGTTGCGGAGGGTTAGTTAAGGGGGATCCCAAAAAATGCTTCCCGTAGCGAAAGGGAAAGGGGGTCCGCCCCTCGCCACCCCTTCCCTTCCTTTCCCAGAGACCTGGGTTCCCACAACCCTCTTTCTCCCTCCCCGTAACCCGCCAGAGGGCTGAGGAGGCGGCCTCTCTGGATCCCGGCTGGGTCCCCAGGCCCAAGGCACCCTCCCCACCAAAGTCTCCCGGCTTCCAGACCCCGCCCTAGTGTCTCTCACCTCATGGCGGGGCGCTCGAGGGGCGGGCTGGGCCGCACTGGGCTCCCGGGCTCCGGGGTACACCCGGAGGCTCCGGGGAAGGGGCAGGGGAGGGGGGCCCGGAGCTCTGGTCAGATCTGGGGCCGGACCCGCCCCGTGGAGGGCTGCAGCTTCCTCCTCTAGGGGGAGGAGGAGGGGGCATAGGAGGGGGCGGGGATTCGGCCGGGGTCCCGCCCCCTTCTTAGTTGGGGGTGCTCGGCCCTCCCCCTGCCCCCGCCCCCCGCTTTGGGCTCCCCCTCCCGGTCAGATGCGCCTGCCCGGCCAGCGCAGTCGCCGCCGCAGCTCCCAGCTGCTGGAACGTTACGCTTTTCCTCCTGTGGTTACATTTCATTCCAAGATTCCAACCTGCTTCTCTAACCACCCCCCCTATCCTCCCCCCTCCGCCCGGCTCCGCACACTCGGGGCGCCCACAATGCCTCGCGCCTTAAAGGTTCCGGGCGTCGGGTAGCCCGGCCGGCTGCCCCTTGCCCTTCTCTTTGGTGGCCCCCCTTCCACGTCGGTTACTCTCCCTTCCGCACACTTTTTCGTGGGTAAGGGTCACTGGGGGGCTCCGGGGATCAATCCAGTGTAGAAAGATCTACTCCCCCATCCCCCTCCCTCCCCTCTGTTCACCTGACCTGAGCCAGCCCCGCCCCCACTCCTTTGGGGAAGGTGAGGAGGAGGAAGTAGGTGTGGACCGGGATGACTAAGAGACTGAGTGAGAGACAAGCGAGGGCGGGGAAGGGCGGGGAAGGGCGGGACGCCTGGGTTCCATCCTCAGCCCCCTTCCCCCCCCATCCAGTGTGCCTCGGTTTCCCCTCTACTCCTGCTAAACACACAAACTGCCAGTCAGAAGAGGGAAGAGAAGTAGCGAATTCGCGTTCATTTCTTCCTGTTCTGGCCTGCTGGGAGTTCCCTGGGGGTTCGGAGTTCCCCATCCTCATAAAGACTGAGTGCAGAGGACTCTGGGAGAAAAGCCTCAGATTGGGAGTCAGAAGGTCTGGGTTCTGCTTCCGATGCGCTGTATGACTTCAAGAAATTCTCTGCTCCTCTCTGGGCCTCGGTGTCTTCTTTTCGTGGGTGAAATCGATCAGGCCACAAGCATTTATTTAGCACTTACTGTATGCCAGGCACTGAGTCAGTGCTTTAAGCTAGGTGATCTCTAAAGTCGCCTCCACCCCCCTCCATCCCCCCACCCCCGATCATTCTATAGTCTGTGTTTTAAGGGCTCTTCCAGCTCTGTCCTGAGTTCTGAATTGCAGCCAGCTCTGTTATTCTACAGTATATTAGAACACTCCTTGTTTGTCTCCAGTTTTACCGGGGAGTCATGAGAGTCAGCAGTGACCACCCTCAAAGCTCAGGGAAGGAAAACTTTCCTCGAAAAGGGCGCACCTACCCCCAGAGTAATGGGGGCTTCTAACTTGCAAATCCCCAGTGAATGACCTCATGGCTGAAGCCACTGACCTCCCCAAACCCTTGTTCCGCCACAGCCTCACCTCCTGGCCCTCTTCCAGCTCCTCCTTTCCCCAGGAACTTAGAGTGCCCACTATGTTCAAGATGCTGTATTGGGCCCTAAGGACATACACATCTCCTGTGCTTCAATATCTCAAGGGATATGATTTCACCCCTGTGAGTCTTTGCTCCAAGCACACAGCTCAGAAACCTCTCTACAGGACTTTAGGAGAGTGTCCCTGACCTTGTGGCCAAGGTGGTCATGAATCTCTCCAAACTGAGCTGGCCTGGTGCTCGGGCAGCAGGCTTCATTCCCTTTTCCACTTTCCTTTTTATGGGGTGGGAAACTCTTTGTCCAGAACCCAGGTTCCTTTTAAGGACCCCAGCCAGCACTTAGTATAGTCCCTTAGGAGCTTAAGAGGCACTTAATGAATGCTCTTGACTCCAGAGATCTGTCTCCTTTGGTCCACGAGTTTCTGCTGGCTGATCATTCTGTGAACTGCTGGGTGGACATTCGGGCAATATTGAATCCTATCTTCTCTCTAAGGGGAAGAGAGAAGTAAGAAGGGGTATAAGCATTTATAATTCACTTACTATGTGCCCAGCACTGTATACTAAGTGCTTTACAAATATCTCATTTTATCCTCACAATAGGTGCTGTTATTATCTGCATTTTACAGTTGAGGAAACTGAGGCAAACTGGCCCATGGTCACATAGCTAGTTAGTGTCTGAAGACAGATTTGATCTCAAGTCTTCCTGACTTCAGGTTCAATGACCTATCCATTGTACCATCTAGCTGCCTTCTATGACCCTAACTTGCTGTGTGACCTTCAGTAAATCCTTTCCCTTCTCTGGGCTCTAAGGGAACAAAATTCTTCACCTGGTTCTGAGTCCTAGGATTCCCTTCCCTGTACCTTTTTAAAGGGTTCACATTCCTCCTCCTTTCAAATGTCCTCACTACAGGGGAACTTGAAAAGGGGGAAGTCCCCTCCCTAGTCTTAATCATTTTTATTTCCACTAGGCTGGTCAGTCTCGTGGTGGGGGAGGTCGTGGCTAAGTAATTCTTCCGCTCCAGTCCTCAGCAGCCTAGGAGCCAAGGGAGGAGTCAATCGGTCATAAACACTTATTAAGCACCTACTATGCATCAGACATTATGCAAAGTGCTGGGAAGACAGAAAGGGGAAAAGAAACGTTCCTCAAGGAGCTCACGGTCTAACTGGTTAACACACAAGATTGTGCCTCAGGCCTGCTGACCCTGGTTATGAAGAAGTTCAGGGCTTTCTTTTCCCTTCCAGGTCCACTTTGTTCTAGGCCAAGGGGCTTTGGGGGAGGGTGGGAAAGGAAGATTGGAGGTTAAAGGGACCTCTATAAGTTGTCCAAATATGAACACTTCCTCCTTTAGGGTTTGCACATAGGAAGTGGTCAGTAAAAGTTTCTTGGTCAACTTTCTACTGTCCTAAAATTCTATGCCTCTGAGAGCTTATGATTCTATCAATCTGAGGTCCTAAAAGTCTAAGATTCTATTTAATTAAACAAACACTAAGTGCCCACTATGTGTGACCATGCACAGCAACTACCTGGGCTCAAACACTTCAGGGGAAGTCATTTTAGCTCTCTGAGTCCTTGCTCTAGGCACACAGCTCAGAAACCCCTCTAATATGACTGCAGTAGAGTTATCCTCATCAGCTTTTGGCCAAGCTACCAATGAACCTCTCCAAGCTGTGCTAGGCTTGACCAAGGGGGGAAAGGTAGGCTTCATTAATTGGCTCAGACAACAGAACTTTAATCTATAATCTACATGCAACCAATTCACTCCTCAACCGTTCCAGTTTGGTAGAGAATTCCAGAGACCAGCTGCCTCTCACACAGCCTTCAAGAACCCAGGGGAACCTGCATGCTGTGATGGGCCATCTGAGGCAGACCGGAGCGTAAATCTTGCCTCCTAACCCTTGTGACCTTGGAGAAGCTACTTGATCTCTCTTTGCCTTAGTTTCTTCATTTGGACAATGGGTCAGACTGAATGATTTTCTAAGGTTCCTTCTGGCTCTAAGTGTATGAAACTATGATTTTTAAAAATTAAATGAGTCAATTCCTACCCTCAAAGAGCTTCCTGACATTCTAATATGCGATAGAAGTAAGAATCACAAGGTAGGGTGCGTCGTGAGATAAATGGAAATGTGAAAACAAAGTGCTCTAGGAAGGGAATCTGAGGAAGCAGAGAATATTTTCAACTGGGGAGAGCTGAGATCATGGAAGCCTTTCTGGAGGAGGTATGGCCTGAGCTGAGCTGTCTCAGGTGAATATAAAGGCTTAAAATTCTATTTTGACTTAGAGTGTACAATTCTAACAGTCTATGACTTAAAGAGTCTACTATTCTAATGGAATAAGATTCTGACTCAGAGGCTCAGAATCGACTTCCTCTTTGAATCAAGAGATGCAGAAACTGAGACCTAAGGAGGTGAAATGACTTGTACAAGGTTTAAGTGACAGGGGCAGGATTGAAGGTGGGACATGTGATTCCAAATTCAGTGCTTTATTGCATATTGACTCCCTCACAGTAAGATTAGACAACTAGAGCTGGATGTCGCCTAGCCCAGAACTTTGTCCTTCTCTACTGCGTTTATCAGGCAATGTTAAAGATGACAGTGACCTCCCTAGTAAACAGTAAGCTCCGTTAAGGTAGCGACCTGTGTCTTATTTAAACTTGGTGCCTTCCCCAGCGCCTAGTGCAATTCCCTGGGCATCCTATTAGATCCTAAATAAAAGTTTACCGAATGAATGAAAGTGTGTAAGCTCCCCCTGGCGGCAGTCACACTCTGGTCTACACCACATTCACCCAGCCCTCCTCCCTTCTCAGGCTCAGCATCTCGATGCCACGCCCCCGAGCTCCCCGGTCCCCTCCCACACCCAACATGTTGAGCTTCAGAAGGGTCACGAGCAGGCAACAACTCCTCTCCAGTTGTGTCCTTCGCCCTTCTGCCAGGATCCTATCCCCTCCCAGGGCCTCTCCTCCTCCCTTCCAGGCTTAGTCTCCCCAGTACGGTTTCCTAGTGTTTTTTCCCCGACCTTCTTCCTCGTTCTGCCTCAGGTCCCACTCCCTCCACAGCTCATGCTCCACCCAGTCTTCCTCAAGGCCCGCCCCCCCACCTCCTACCCCCCCCACCCCTTCCAGACTCGCGCAGGCTCCCTATCTTCCCCTTCCCCTCGCCTGTCTCCAAGCTCGCGCAGGCGCGCTTGATCACGCCCCCCAGCCCAAGCCCCGCCCCCGGCCCGGGGCTCGTGCTGCAGTCCCCCCACCCCCTTCTCCTCACTCCCCTCGGTCCCAGCTCGGGGCCCCGCCCGCCCAGGCCCCGAGGAGAGGGAGGGAGGGAGGCGGCGACGGTCTGCGGATGGCGGCGGCTGGGGCGGTGCCGGGGCGATGAACACGAGGGGCCCCGGGCCCTGGGCGGCGCGGCCAGAGCGGGCCCGGGCGGGGCCATGGGCCAGGTGCTGCCTGTCTTCGCCCACTGCAGTGAGTCCCCCCAGTCCCTGGGGTAGGGGTGCCAGCTCGAGAAGGGAGGGGATTCCCGGGGTTGATGGGGTAAGGACAAAGAAATAATCCCCTTCCCAGAGCCAACTAATGTAGCTCTCCATGGGCCTCAGTTTCCCCCCTTTGTCAAATGAAAGGGTTAGACTCGATGATCTCCAAGCGCCTTCAACTTGTAAGCAGAACGGGCTGTCGAGAGCCGGGCCCAGCCTGTAGAACCCAAAGGGACCGAGAGAGATCTGGCAAGACCCGGAGCTGTCCCCGAGCCCTGGTGCTGATCCTAGGGAAAGGCCTAGGATGAATGGGGGAGGGGAAGACTGCCATTCCCCGCCCCATCCCTCCCCCTTCTCCCTTTCCCTGGACTCCCTGAGACTAATCCCGGGCTACCTCCTCTAAGGGGCAGTCTGGTCCACCCACACCTTCTTTCCAGCTTTAGACAAGCTCGAACACACACACACGCACACACACACACACACACACACACACACCGTCCCCCCCCTCGCCCCCATCTTTCCTGATAGATTTGGAATTAATTTTTCTAGGATAGAGAAGGGAGTGTCAGATGCTTCCCACTCCCCACTCCCACCCCCTTTGCTGATACCGAGGCATCACACGAACTGGGTTCCAGTCCCGGATCAGTCTTTTCTTATAGTGCAACGTTGGACAAACTTCTTCCTATGTAGGCTTCTGTTTCCCGTCTATAAAATTGGAGAGGATCAGATGGTATCTAAAGTCCTTTACTGTTCAGACATTCTGCTTTCTAGGCTCACTTGTGGCACTAAGATTTTTAAAGGTTAAGAGGCTCTGATTCTAAGGTTCTCAAAGTTTAAAACCCCAAGTCTAAATTTCTACAATTCCACAATTCAGAGAGTCTAAAATCCCAAGATTCCAAGCGTCCAAAACTGAATGTTGTGATTTCAAGTGTCTAAGATTCCTGCATTGTGTCTAAGACTCTATTTCTTTGCTAGAAGAAGCACCATCCACTGCCTCTTCCACCCCTGACTCCACAGATGGTGAGTAGAATCCACCTCCACGGCCTTTATGGCACGGGCATTTCTGGGGGGGCTAAATAAGGTGGGGGAGTGCGAAGAGCTCTGAGGAGGAATCGGTGACTCCCGATTAACTCCTACTTTCTCAGGAGAAATGAGGAGGAACCACTGAGGAGGTACTGCTGGGGTGGGGGGAAAATAAGGTCCTAGTCATTTAGTACGTGTGGGGAGAAGACAGATCAGGAGCTGCCGAGAGAAAATTCCAACTCTGGTAGTAACCTGTTTTGACCTTGGGGAAGGAAACAGCCTCAGTTGCCTCACCTGTAAAAATGAAGAAGTGGCATTGGGTGATTTGTAAATTCCATTCCTTATCTAAAATCCTGTGAGTACGAGGGAATCTCGGGTACTTCTGAGAGGAATCTGGAGTTTTAACGATGGTGAGTGACTGGCGCTAAGGGGACAGCAGTTTAAAGCCAGTGTCCTTCCAGGTGGCAACGACGATTCGGATTTCCGGGAGCTGCACACTGCTCGGGAGTTCTCTGAGGAGGAGGAGGAGGAGACGACGTCGCAGGACTGGGGGACCCCCAGAGAGCTGACCTTCTCCTATATCGCCTTCGAAGCCGGGGGCAGCCGCCGAGACTCTGTCCATCGCCGGCCTCGCCCCTCGGGCCGCTCTGAGGCCCGTGAACCGGGCCCATCGGGCCTGGGAGACAGTTTGGAGAGCATCCCCAGCCTGAGCCAGTCTCCGGAGCCTGAACGACGGGCTGCCCAGGAAGGCCCTCCTCAGGCCGAACTGAGGCTCCGTCTGGACCAGCTGGCCTGGGAGTCGGGGCTGGCGGCCTCGGAGGACTCGGCCAGCAGCCCCTCGGAGGAGGAGGACGAAGACGAGGAGGAGGAGGGCGGACCGGAGCCCAGATTGGCTGGGGAAGGTATGCCGGAAGGGCACGGTTGAGAACGAGGTTCAAGGTTTAGCTGAAGGTGGGTTCGGGGTAAGGAGGGGGAGAGGGGGCAGAAGCGTGGATTCTTAGGAATTATTAGAATCTTGGAGAAAAGCGTGACTGAATCTGGGAAGGGAGGGGTCCCGAGCACCGGGCAACCTTAATGGGGACGGGAGGTTCACCCTAAGGAGAAGCTCATAGCCTCATTTCCCTCCTTTTTCCGCTTCGAAGACTTGGAAGTACCACGCCTCCCAGCTGAACCCTCGCAGCCTGAGGTCTGTTGGTCCCATCTCAGCCCACGCCCAGGAATTTCAGCCCTGCAAACTCACACCCCTTCCCCGCCTCCTTCCCTGGGGTCTCGGGACTCAAACTCTTGGCGGGAGGAGGAAGATCCGGAAGAGGGGGAGGTGTGGCGAGACGTTGAGCGGGAGCCAATCACCGGGCAGCGCTTGGACAGCTCGGACCAATCAGGGATCACGCTAGAAATTCATGTCCTAGGTAAGTATTTGCCTTTGCGACCAGGATGGTACTGGGGAGGCGGGATTTAGAGACCTTGCCTTCCTGGAAGAAACCAATGGTCGAAGAGTGACAGGGAATAGTACCCCGGATATTCCTGGACCAGGCTACCTGGGTGCTCTAAGCGTCAGTATGCATTTAGGGAGGCAGGGAACAGCGTGGAGGTGATAGCGTTACTCCGGGAACACTCTGAAGACCACCAGGAGGCTGAAGAGGCAGTGTATGGAAGGTTAAGGGTAGAAGGGCGGAAGAAATACTAGGGACATCCTTCCATTGGTCTAAGTGTAGATCATCAGCCCTTCCATCCTGTACCCGTGTGTCCCAACTTCCACTGCATTTCCCTTCTCCTTTCCCCCTTTTGCACTCCTCCTACCATCTATGCTTCCCAGTCCTCTCCCTCTCCCTTCCTCGGGCCCTCCTCCTCTCTTTGTGCTACTTCCCATTCAGTCAGTCAGTCAGTCAACAGCATTAACTCAGCCTTTACTATGTCCCAGGTACTAGGCTAAGAGCTGGGATATGCAGAAAGGCAAAAAAAAAAAAAAAAAGTGACCTCAAGGAACTCATATTCTAATGAGGGAGACAACATTTTATAACCATCTATAGTCAAGATGCATTCAGAGTAGTTGGGAGTAATCTCAGAAAGGCAGTAAGAGATCAGGAGAGGACTCTTGTAAAGAGTGAAATTTGAGCTGAGTCTTTGTGTGTGACTATGTGTGTGGGGGGGGGAGGTAATAAGGGTTAAGTGACTTGATAAGCGTCACACCGCTAGCAATGATCTGAGGTTGAATTTGAACTCAGGTCCTCCTGACTTCAGGACTTGTGCTGTATCCACTGTACCACCTAGCTGCACCTTGAGATGAGGCTTGAAGGAAGCCAGGGAAGAGGTGAAAGTCATAGGGCAGAACCTTTCAGAGCCAGCCATTGCAAAGACATGGAGTCTAGAAACAGAGCAAGTAGGTCAATGTTACTGCATCCAGTGTATATGGAGGGGAGAAAGGTATAAGAAGAATGAAAAGGTAAGAGGGGGGAGGGCAGGTCGTGAAGGGCTTTAAATGCTGCAGAGGAATTTATATTTGATCAAGGAGGCAAAAGGGAGCCACTGGAATTGGCTGAATAGGGAGGGAAGATATGGTCAGACCTCTGCTTTAGGAAAATCACTTTGACAGCTGAGTGGAAGATGGTGGACTGGAGTGGGGAGAGGCCTGTGAAAGGGAAACTAACCAGCAGGCTGTTAAAATAATCCGGGTATAAGGTGATGCCTGCACCTGGGTGGCAGCTGGGTGAGTGTCTGAGATGTGAAGGAGAGGTGTTGGGAGGGTAGAAATTGCAAGATGTGACAACAAATTGGATATGGGGGGGGTGAGAGTGGAGTCGAGGGTAACGCGGAGGTTGCTTATAATTTCCTCCTTCCCTCTTTTCCCTACCCGTTCCCCATTTATTTCCTCTTGCCTATCCTCTCCCACGGGGACCCCTCTACTGGCTAATTATAAATAATCCCCATCCTCTTCGAGGCTATCACAACTTTCATTGGTCATTTGGCAAGTTCCAACCAACCCCATCTTCCCTTTAATCTCCTCCCGTCTTCACTGGCCTTTTTTTCCTCGAAGGGATGCTAGAGGAACAAACGCGGGATGGTTTCAAGTCCAGCACCCTCTCTCCTCCCCGTCCCACCTTATTTTATTAAGTTACGTTCATTACATTACATTACGACATTCAATGTCGTCACTGGTTAGTGGTACATCCTGCCCCCTCCTCTACATTCTCACTTTGTTTGGTCGTTGTTCCTTTTTTCTAGGGTACCACCGTTAGCTAACTATAAATAGAACTTGTCCTCTTCTCCCCTTTCCCCCCAACTCTGCTACTCTTTCCTTACTTCCCCGCCAGGGGGCTCCGGGGCATCATTGGCTAAGTAGGACCAAATCCCGGCCCCGTTCTTTTCATGCCCTGATTGGGTGATGCAGAGCGTCCCTATTGGCTGGTTATAAATAGACCACGCCCATTCCGTACCTCTTGCCCAACATTGGATTCCTTTTCTCCCGTTCCACTGGCTAGATACAGTTAGGCTCCGTCTATCCCTCCCTTTCTCCCTGGCATCATTCCCTTTACTTCCTTCCTTCTCACCTCATCTTGAGGCGCTGCTTCAGACTTCTCCCCCTAAAACCTTCACCTTTCTGCCAGCCCTTCCCCCGCCCAGCTCCATTGGTTAAATATGGCTAAGCCACGCCCCCCTCCGTGCCTATCTCCGCCTCCGATAGGAGCCCCCACTCTGCCCCTCCCGCTGGCCGGTCTCTTTTTATTTCCTAAATAGTCCCGCCTTCCAAGTTTTCGTCCCTCTTCCCATTTCATTGGCTCGCTCCGAGAACTTGCATCGTTACCATTGGCTAATTTAAAGAAGATCCCGCCCCTTTGGGTAGCTTCTTCCCCTTACCTTCTATGGGCTCCTCTTGCCTCTCTCCTCCCACCTAAGGGATCCCGGAGCTCTATTGGCAAGACCCTGCCCCCCGCGGGCTGTCTCACAGTAAGCCTTTTCCTTGTCTCCGCTAGGGGGCCCCCGGGCGCAGCTATTGGTCGATTTCAGAGCGCCCCGCCCCCTGCCTTGCCCCCTCCCTCGCTCCCTCCCTTTCTCCTCCGACCCCTCCCCCCTTGTTTCTTGGAGCTTCATACCCGCGGACCGCTGCTGCTCCGCCCTGACCCCCGGCCGCCGAGATGGGAGGCAGCAAAGGTGGGGATGGGTGGGGGTCTGGAGGGGAGCATGGTCTGCTGTGTGAGCTTGGATGGGCCCTTGCCCCTCTTTGTGCCTCAGTTTCTCCATAGGGAAACTCCTCCCCAAAGGAGGGGAGGGGTAGGGCTCTATGGTCCCTTGCAGTCCTGACATCCTATGGACCGTCAGGTGGAGGGAGGGTCCACTAAGCCCCTGGGGGAGACCGCTATCGAAGAAGAGGATGGGAAGAAGGGGGGGTCTCTTCTCAAATCCCTCACCAGGGCCATTTGGATCAGAGGGTCACTGGGCCCCTTTTCCCCTGTCTGAGAGGCACCACTCCCTGCTAGTGTGACAGATGGAGCTGTCACTCAAGGTGGAGGGAGGGAGGAAGGACTGGTTCCTGACAGCTGCGGGAATCAGACACCAGCTCTCCTCTACCGCTCCCCTGAGTCCAGCCTAAACTTAGTCTCCCCCTCTGGCAGCCACTCTCTCCCCACCCCTCCCCACTGTCCTACCCTCACACCAACCATGGGGTTTAACAGACTTTGATGCTACTCCCCCCTCCCCCATTCCCTGTCTGATCTTGGCTTGGTTTCCCCTCCTTGGGTCTCAGTTTCCTCATCTGCAAAATTTGGGAAGTTGGTCATGCATGGTCTGGAAGAGCCTTTCCAGTTCTGACATTCTATGTTCTTTGACCCTTTCAGCTCTGACAGTCTGTTCCAAGCTTCCTCCTAGTTCTGAACATTCTATATTCTTCCAACTATGCAATTCTCTATTCTAAAGTCGCTCCCCATCCTGCCTTTCAGTATCTTGTGTTCTAAGGTCTTTTTCAGCTCCAATATGTTCTGTTCTATGCTCCAAGGTTCTATCATTCTCTCTTCTGTGGTTCTATCATAGGAGTTCTAGGACTGGGAAGGGAAACAAGATTGTGGATGAAGCACTTGAAAGACAGTCCTCAAAGCTGTCTCCCCTTGTTTGTGGGAGAGGTCTTATCCTAGTGAAATAAGTGGGGTCTCAGGGAGGGGGTTCAGGAAGGGCTGAGGGGACTTCACATCCCTAGAATAGGAAAGAGAGGAAGTAATCTAAGCCTGGGAGGCAAAAGGACTGGTGTGCTTATGCCCAGGTGGGGCTAGGGCTTGGGAAGGGGCAGGCTGCTGTCAGGGGCCTTGGGGGAGAGCCAGGACTGTAGGACACTATCTGTGACCTGGGCAGAATCAATAGGAGAGAGAGAAAGGGTACTCTAGTCAGAATTTGATCCTTGTTTGGACAGTAAATCTGAAGGGCTGGTCTTGGGATTGAATGGTAGAGAGGGAGAAGATGTGTGGAAGGTCAAGAGCCCTGGGCTGGGAGTCAGGAGAACTGAATTCCGGGCCAGTTGACTCACTGTGTGACCTTCATCTCGTAGCCTTAGTTTCTCTAGTGGTAAATTGAGGGTTGGGAGTGAGCTATCTGGTATTTAGGGTTTCTCTTAGTCCTGTTATTCTATGATCTATAATAGCCCCCACCCCAGGGTTGTCATGAGGATCAAATGAGATCACTTATCTAAAGCATTTTATAAACCTTAAAAATGTTAGCTATTATTACTATAACTTCCCTCCTTCTGTTCAGGACACCAAATAAGTTATTTTTAGTCATTCTAGTCAGTTGCTACAAAATTGATCCTGAAGTGGGTCAGTTCCCTTCCCTGGGCCTCTGTTTACCCACCATGAAATAATGGGGGTTGGGCTAGATAATATCTGAGTCCTCCCAGATCTGCTGTTCTTTGATACTGTGTCGCTCCAAATTGGCGTTTGGTACAAAATCTGTGTTTGGTACAGCTGGGAGGGGTTGGGGTCCTAGAGGTACTCTCTGAGCCCTCCTCTCACCTCCTGTCTCCACAGTGGCAGAACTACTGTATTGGCGGGACACAAGGACGTCAGGTGTGGTCTTCACAGGCATTATGGTCTCCTTGCTCTGCGTCCTACACTTCAGCATTGTCTCCGTGGCCTCCCACCTAGCCCTGGCCGTGCTGGCAATCACCATCTCTCTCAGGGTTTACCACAAGGCACTTCAGGCTGTGCACCGGGGTGATGGGGCCAACCCCTTCCAGTAAGATACCCTTCAGCCTTGACCTTGACCCTCATTCCAACCCTGACTCTAATTTGAACCTCAAACCTGACCCCATCCCGTACCACATCACTCCCTACCCACAAACCAATCTTAAACCAGGCATCCTTGACCCTTAATCCCAGCCGATGTTGAACACTGATCCTCTAAAGTATTGGAGCCTTGCCTTAGTCTCTCCCCATCTTCTTCCTTCATTTCTGTCCCTTTCCCATCTCTCTGATGCTGCCCAAGAGCCCTGGATTCTAGCTTTGTCTCTGTCACTGGCTCATGCTGTAGCCCCAGTCAAGAGCGTAATGGGAACAGCATAGATTTGGGATCCTAGGTTCTGGCTTCGAACAACAGCTTTGACATTTCTGCACTTTGTGTGACCTTGGGCAAGTCCCTTTCTCATTCTGAGGTTCTCCATCTCTAAAATGAGGAGTTCTGACTTGACACACTCCCACCCAGCTCATATCTTATGTGTCCCCCACCTTCCTCTCCCTCTCACCTTCCACCTCTCCCTCCCTTAGGTTGATGAAGGGGGTGGAGGGGGGGGGGTGGGAAGGATCTTTAGGAGATGCAGTTCCTCTATTGGCCACTTGTCTGGTCCTGTGCTTAACCGCCAGGTGGCAAATCAGATCAGGACCTCTCCTGGGTACACCACTCTGTGGTTCCGCTGTGCACCACCAGGTGGCGCTGCACTGCTGATGTTTAGCATCCCAGGCATCAGGGTCTTTTGGTACTTACTGCTAAGGAATACTGTTGGGTCGCAGATCTTTCTGAGAGCGCCCTGTCCTGCAGGTTCCGCTTCAGGCCACCAGAGGGCGTTTCGGGGCCAGGACATCTCCCCAGCCTTTTCCAGTCCAAACGTCTTGTTTCTCCTCCCCGTCCCCACTCCTCCACTCAGGGCTTACCTGGATGTGGATCTGAGCCTGAGCCGGGAGCAGATAGCCCGCTACACCGAGCAGATCACAGCTCAAGTGGTTTCTGGGGTGACGCTCCTGAGACACCTGTTCCTAGTGGAGGACCTGGTTGATTCCCTCAAGGTAGCAGGACTTCTGACAACCCTACCCCTTCCACAAACAGCCCTCCCACCACCACCAGAAACACACGCACGGAACTCCTGCCTTTAGACACCATCACCAGCAGCATCCTTTTCTAGAAGGGAAAAGTAGAGCCTACATCCTACTGGGTGCGAAAGGGAGTACTTAGCCCTAGGGACCTTACAGCTGGTATATGGGGGGAGGGGACACACAGACTTTTGGAGAAATGAGAAGAAACTCAAAGTCTTGGGCTGGTTAGGGCATCACAGCTGGAAGGGGCTGAGGGAGGGGGTTGGTCACAGATCTGGGGAACATTTCTAAAGCAAACTCACCATTCTGAGAAGAACAGGACTGAGCAGCTTACCTGTGCATGTGTGGGAGTTGGGGGTGGAAGAATTGTCCTCAGATTTTAGAGCCACCGTTGGATGAAGTTCACAGCCCTAGGAAGGACATGGTCCTCAGGGCACTGGGCACAGCTCAGGGCCCCAAGGACTCGGGAAGTAGAGAGCACAGACTGTCTGGTGGTGTGGAGGAAGAGTTAACATGCCCAGCCCACCCTCCAGCACTACTAGGGAAGCTCACAGCTTCTCCTCCCACCCCCAAGGATCCCCCTAACCTTGGCTGTCTCCCACAGTTGGCGCTTCTCTTCTACATCCTGACCTTTGTGGGAGCCGTTTTCAACGGGTTGACTCTTCTCATCTTGGGTGAGCTGGTGGGGAGGGCCAATGGGCAGGTGGGAACGAAGACTGCTCCTCGAGAGTTATTGACCTCTGACTCTGTTTTTCCAGGTGTGATAAGTGCATTTACCTTCCCTTTGCTGTACCGGCAACACCAGGTGAGGAGAGACTCAGCCCCTCACCCATCTCTACCCCCATACCCCGGTGTTTCTAGGCAGACAAAGCAGGCTGACCCCCCCCCCCCCCCCCCCGCCAACCAGATTCAGACAGGTGGACAGCATGACCACCAACTGACATGCATCCCGGCCAACCAGAGACATTGGGGCTGTTTGACCCCCAGGTTTAGCCAAATGACATTTAAAAGTCAAGCAACAATATTCGTTGCTGACAAAGTGGCAGTTTGGACAAACACTCTGACCCCCGCCCCCACCCCGCCCCCAGCACCTGTTTGTCCTGAACACACATCCCAGCCAGACACAACCAAGTCAGCTGATCTTTGGGCTAAACTAAGTTACATCAATTGGGCCAAGTCACACAAGTCAGCCTCCCCCCCACCTTGCTCCTTCTTTCATAGGCTCATAGGCCTTTGGAGGTGGAGGGAGTCTTAGAGGTCATAGGATTTAGGGCTGGTAAGGAATTTAGAGGTCACCTCCTTCATTTTACAGATGAGGAAACTGAGGCCCAGAGAAGGTAAGGGACATGTCTCACAGAGGTAGTAAATAGCAGACCCAATAACCAAAACCCAGTACCTTGATGCCAAATTCAGGACTGCAAACTCTCCTGTTACTACACTCTGACAGATACAATCTGTGCTACCAATCTCCCTACAGCTAAGCTCCTTTAGGCTCCAAGCTGGTTCTGTGCCCCAGTGACTATAGCTCCACCCCACCCCCCCAAACACACACACACACACACACATACACACACACACACACACACACACACACACACACACACATAGTATGAGACAAACAGCAGGGAGCTCAGCCGGGCTACTGTCCCATACCCATACCCAAATAAGATCAAATACCCTTTGTCTCCTCCTCAGGAGCATGAAACAAAGTCACCCTGCTCTTCTCCCATCAGTCAGTCAGTTAATAAACATTTATTGAGTGCCTACTAAGTGCCAGGCTCTGTGCTAAGGCTGGGGATGGTAAGAAAGGCAAAAACTGGTTCCCTGCCCTCAAGGAACTCACAGTCTAATGGGGAACACAACTATGGCAAACAGCTATGTTCTTCAGTTATTTCAGTCACGTCTGACTCTTCATGATGCCATAGGGTTTTCTTGGCAAAGATACTGGAGTGGTTTGCCATTTCCTTCTCCAGTTCATTTTACAGACGGTAGGCAAACAGGATTATATGACTTGCCCAGGATCACCCAGCTAGTAAGTGTCTAAGGCTGGATTTGAATTCAGGTCTTCCTGATTCAGGTGCTCTATCCACCGCACCACCTAGCTGCCCCCAAACAATTCTGTACAAATGAGATACATACAGGATAAATGATAGCTAATGAGCAGGAGGAAGGCCATAAGATGAAGGACGACTGGGAATCACTTCTTAGAGAGGTGTGATTTGGGGGGAGACTTGAAGAGAGCCAGGGAAACCACAAGGCAGAGGTAAGGAGGGAGCGCATTCCAGACCTGGGGGACATCCAGTGGAACTACGCAGCTTTGAGGAACAGCAAAGAAGCCAATGGCACTAGAACACAGATTGTGTGTGTGTGTGTGTGTGTGTGTGTGTGTGTGTGTGTGTGAATCTAATGTAAGAAGACTGAAGTGGTCAGAAGGGACCAGATTGTGGAAGGCTTTGAAAGCCTGTGTATTTTATATTTGATCCTGAAAATAATAGGAAAATAATAGGAAGCCATTCAAGTTGATTGAATTGGGCTTTAAGAGGATCAATCCATGATGCTGGTGTAAAGATGAGAGTTTCTGTATTTTAGTCCATTCCTTTCATTTGACAAAAAGGGCAACTGAGTCTTAAAGAGGTCAAATTTTTTCCCCCCAAGGTTGAAGATAGAACAGTGGATAGAGTGAGGGGCCTGGAGTCAGGAAAATCTAATTTAAATCCAACCTCAGTCACTTACTAGCGTGTGACTCTAAGCAAGTCACACAACATCTGTTGGACTCAGTTCCTCATTTGTAAAATGGGGTTAATAACAGTACCTACCTCCAGGGTTGTTGTGAGGCTCAAATGAGATATTATTTGTTAATTGCTTAGCACAGTGCCTAGCACACAGTAGACAATAGATAAATTCTTATCTTTGCCCTTCCCTAGTGCTAGTAATACAATTAGAATTCAAACCCAGGCCTCATGACTACAAATCCAGTGCTCTTTCCACCACGCCATGTTGTCTTCACTGACCAATTTAATGCACAGACATTGAGTAAGGCTCTGCTGTGTGTGGAGAACCTGTTCTAGGCACTGGGGATACAAAAATGAAATAAGACAGTTCCTCCTCTCAAGGAGCTTGCGATCTAATTGCAAGTACTACTTGTAATACCAATCATACTACTAGTTTCAGGCACTACTTGTACATTATGAGCATAGTAAAAGTAAAAGGCAAATTAGGGCAAAAGGGAAAAAAAATCTAGGCCAAGGGCTGCTAGGTGGCGCCATAGTTCAGCGAGCACTGGGCCCGGAGTCAGGAAGACACACCTTCCTGAGTTGAAGACACTTACTCAGACACCTACTAGCTTTGTGACCCTGGGCAAGTCACTTAACCCTGTTTGCCTCAATTTCCTCATCTGTTAAATGAGTTGGAGAAGGAAAAGGCACTCAAGTGTCTCTGCCAAGGAAACTCCAAATGGGGCCATAAAGAGTCAGATGCAACTGAACAACAGAGTGAGAAATTAGAGAAGAGAGATCAGTTTTAGAGAGGCGGGGAAAGGTTTCAAGGAGGCCTTCCTGGAGGAGAGGGCCCTGGGTTAGGCCTAGAAGGAAGCAAGAGATGGAGATTGAGCCATTTCAGGCTTAAGGAAGAAGTGTAAGCAGAGACACAGAGATGGTAAAAGACAGGATGAGATTGTGAGAGTGTTCCTTCACTTGGATCATAGATCACAGAATCACAGGTTCATGGCTGAAAGGGGTCTCAGAAGTCATAGGGATCATAGATCTAGAACTAAAAGTTACCTCAGAGGGTTGCCTAGTCTGACCCCCTCATTTAAAAAATGAGGAAATTGAGACTAAGGGAGGATAAAAGATGTGCCCAAACTCACACAGCTGGTTAAGTGTTGGAGTAAGAATCTGAGCCCAGAACCTCTGATGCCAAAGCCAGCACTTTCTCCACCCATAACTCTTCAGTACACAATGGTAAACTGTATGAACTAAAGAGAAAAGGAAAGGGTGGTGGGTGTGGGATTGTGGAGGGAAGGCCTCAAAGGCCTGGCAAAGAAGTTTGAATTTGCTAGGGGAGCCAATGAATGTTTTAAACCCTGTAGAGTGACCTGGTCAGACCTCTGCCTTAGGAAGTTTACCCTGGTAGTTTATGAATGATGGACTGATGAGACACAAGGCAGGAACAGCTTAACTAGTTAGGAGGTTCAGATCTTCCCAACCTTGGAATATTAAAGCTGATATGGACCTTAGAGAATAGAATAGGTTAGGAGCCCACTTAGCTCATTGAGGCAGCCCCACTAGAAACAGCCTTACCTACTGACCGATGAATCCTTTCTTCAAGCCTCCACCTCTATCCCATGAGGCAACTAAGGTCTGACTGACCTTCACACCAGCCATTGACACCCAAGTTGACTATGTCTCCATTATTTAGCTGACTCCTATCACCACCACCACCACCAAGGATAACTGACTTCTAGGACTATCTCCACTCACCCCCTACCTGCTTACCTCCCCCCCAGCTCCATCCCACAAACACATGTACATCAGCTCCCCGATGGTTATATCCTAAAGCAAACACAGCTCCAGAATTCTGTGGGTAATTCTTTGAAAGAGAGGAAGGAATAATGGCTTGGGGGCACCATTGGGAAGCATGCCAACCCAGATGGCTGGGAGGAGATGGGAAATTTGTAGACTTTGGGACCACTGTGGAATTAGGATCGGCAGGGAGTGAGGGGGATGAGGGAAGTGAGCAGCTCATGGTATACTCTGCTCCTCCCACAACAATATTCCCTGCTGGGTGCCTTCAGTGAGGGTGGAGTGGTGAGACTCCCTGAGATAAGAGAGAAGTTCTCTTCCCACCCCCAAGATAACCTCTCCACCTCCCTTAGGCCCAGATTGACCAATATGTTGGACTGGTGAACAATCAGCTGAGTTACATCAAGGCTAAGTGAGTACCAGTGTGTCTGTGGCTCTGGGAAGGGCACTGAGGCCTTTTGGGTGGGTCCAAACGCCTTCTCTCTCTTCACTTGGTCCCAAATTCCGTCTCCATCCTTACTCACCCCCTTCCCAAAGAACTAGTGAACACCTCCTGTTTTCCCACTGCAATTCCAACTACAGCCACTGGATGGCAGGCACGGAAATGAGCCTGGACCATGGTCCAAGCTATGACTGGGAAACAGGACGCTCCAGTCTGGTTACTCATGGTTTTGTCATTGACTGACCCTGTGACTTCGAGGCAAGTCCCTTCTTCTCATCTTTAAAATGAGGGAATTGGAGCCGATGATCTCTGAAATCTCACTAACCCCTACGTTCTGTCTTTGAAGGTCTCCCCCCCAGCTCTAATGTTTTCTGTTTTATTAAGGGCCCTTCTGGTTAGCTCTGATAGTCTATGTTCCAAGACCCCTCCCAGCTCTGACATTCCCTGTTCTAAGGTCCCTCTCAGCTCTCCATCACCTGTTCTAAGGTCCTTCTCAGCTCTGACATTCTCTGTTCTGAGGCCTCTCCTAGCTCTGATGTTCCCAGTTCTCAGGTCCCTCCCAGTTCTGATATTACCTGTTCTGAGGCCCCTCCCAGCTCTGACATTCCCTATTCTAAAGAACCTCCCAGCTCTGATGCCCTATGATTCCTCCACATCTAAATTTAGCAGTTATAATATGTATGTGTGTGTGTTTATGTGTGTACACATATATCACGTATTCTAATTAAATCTCTTTTTTCTCATGTTCTCCGTTGTTTCTGCAGGATCTATTCAAAGATCCCAGGGACTGGGGCCTCTGCAAGTTCCAAAGCCAAAGCCGAATGAGCCCCTCTTCCGGCCGGCCCGGGACCCGCCTGCCCACAGCACCCCGGTGCCCTCTTTCAACTACCCTGCCTGCCCCCCTCCCTGCCAGCCTCCCCAGTCCTGGGTCATACACACAGACGCACACACATAACACATACACACACCTTCCAGCTCTGGTGAACCTAGCTAGGGCCTCTCCATGCTCAAATACCAAACTCCCTTTCATCCCTGCTTCGCCCCCCCACCCCCCATGGCCTTTAGGATGACATGCACCCATCTGGGAGTCTGCAGATGGTCCCTGGGTGCCTAGAAAGGCCAGAGACTTGTAGTACCCTAGACAGGGCAGCCATCCCTGATGCCAGGAACTCACCCATGTCACTCCCTATCCCTCCTTCCCTGCTGGGGTGTTGAGTTGTGTGTGGGGGGGTATCTCCTTGTCTGCCACCCTGTCCCCACCCCTGGGGCATTTCATGGGGTTGAGGAAAGAACTGAGCTTGGGTTTACACTTTAATAAAAACTTGTGGAAAACATGTGGACTCAACTAGTCATTTGGACAGTCAGCAAACATTATTGGTCAAAGTCTCCTCCTCCCCTGGTCCTGCTGAGTCAATGACCTGGAGAGCTGCTATAACAGAGAAGCAGTGTGCCATAGAGGAGAGAATGCTTGGAAAGGTGAGGCAATGGCACAGACAGAAAAGACACGGCCTCAGGCATTATCTAGGTTCAGATGATCCCTCTCTTATTACCCAGATGACATTGGGTAAGTCACCAAAGTTCTCTGATCCTCAGTTTACTTACATAGTAAGGGGTACCTTCTGGCTGTAGCTCTTTGATCCTATGACCTCAGTTTGACTCCCTAGGTCTTAATAGCTGAGCAACTCACTTTCCCCTTTCTGGGTTTCAGTTTCCCAATCTGTAAAATGGGGTAATAATACTGATGATACTTCATGCCTCACAGAGCTGCGTCGAGAAAAGCATGTCCTAATGCCCTGGAGAAATGGGAGTCGTCAGTGGGCAGCACCATGGAGAGAGCACTGGGGTGGGAGAACACTTTGGAGGCCTGGATTCCGGGTTTGTGGATTGGCTGAACGGATAAATCATTAGAGGGACCAGCTGTCCCCTCTCTAGAATGAAAGGATCAGACCAGTTGACTTCCAAAAGTCCTTCCAGGTCTGAGGTGCTGTCATTCTAGAATTGCTCGGAGGTCCAAACTAATCAGTCCACAATTATTTAGCTTACTATATGTCGGACTGTGTCTGGTTGGGATCAGGTGGTGAATATAATGGACCCAAGCCCTTCCTGTCCAAGCCCTGCTAACCAACCTTCTCCCAGAGGTCTGATGTCCCTGACCATGGTGGGTTTTCTGGAGACTCCCATTGAAAGGTAAACGTTCCCTAGGAGAGGGCACATAATTAGCCATGATAGGACTAGGCAGCTGGGAGGCTCAGGGGATAGAAGCCTGCTGGGCCTCTAGTCAGGAAGACCTCAGATACTTACTAGCTATGTGACCCTGAGTAAATCCCTGTTTGCCTCAGTTTCCCTGCTGTAAAATGGGTATTATAATAGCATCTAGGGGAGTGTTGTTTTGTGCTCTGTACAAAATACTTGTTCCCTTCCTGCCCCTCTTTCTAGAGACCCCAAGATATCTGTAGATATATCTCAAGGATACATGAACTTGAATATGGAAAAAGTTACATCTTTATTTCAACATAATTGGTTGCCTTTTTAATCATCTATAGTATTTTATGCACTAAAAGCACAATTCTGAGAAAGAGTATCCATAGGTTTCCCCAGACTGCCACCCAGAAGGTGATGAGTTCCAACAGATGGGAAAATAAATTGAGACTCAAGAAAAGGAAAGGAATTATCCAAGGTCATAGCTAGGGGGGGGGCAGAGCCAGCAATACAATGCTGGGAGCCAGGGTATGTTCTTGAGCTAGAGAGGGACCCTGTGGAGGTGGGCTGGAGGGATTGGGGCCTTGAGGAAGTTTGTGGGACTCAGGATCCAGGCCAGGGGCTGGCGAAGGCGACAGTCCCACCTAAAACCGCAAGATGTCGCCCAAACCCCAGTGTTTTCAACCCGAACTAGTAGGTATGGCGACAACAGAAGGCCGCGTCTACACGGACAAGGAGCCGGATATTTCTGGGTTCTGGGCATGATCCGGAGAATTGGCATCAATTTTCCAAAGGGTGGATATGCTCTTAAATTCTCTAGATCTGCTGCTACGGCCGCTTCTCTCCCGGGTTACAGTGCACGCTGCTGTCATTGACCAGCTGTGCGGCCTCGGGCAAGTGACTTCCCCCCTCTGGGCCTCAGTTTCCCCGTCTGTAAAATGAGGTGAGGTGGGCCAGCTCAGCTCTCATGGCCGGTCTCCAACATCCCACGCAATCTTCAGGGGCCTTTCCAGCCTTGGCTGGAGCAGGAAGGAAACCTCGGGGGCTGTGAGGGCCGAAGGAGGTGGGGAAGAGCAACCCGTCCCCCACCCCCAGCCCACCCCCACCCCGAAAGCCACAGCACCACGCTGGAGATAAACTGAGCACTCTAATGCCCGGAACGCTCCTGCAGGGGAAATCTCTCCCAGAATCCTCTGCGGGATGCAAATGAGGGACTCCTTTTAGCACGAGGTGTCATTCGTATCATCAAGAAAAATAGAGGAAAAAAATTGAGAGAAAAACAGAGATTTCCGAAGTTATCATACTTCACTAAGATGTTAAGTTCAATCACAGAACTCAACACAAAAATGTTTTCATCCTATGCAAAAAATATATAGAACATTAAGCTTTATATAGCTCCTCATAAAACCCAGGGAGCTGCCCGGATGACCCTCAGTGGTCTGGGGTGCAGGCTTCAAACCTGTAGCTGTCTAGCGAC